TTAAGTTAATTATCACATTTTTTACACACAATTTTACTTTGCATTGATGCGTTGCACGACAAGAACAGGACGACCACTGGTCGGGGGCGGGGCGGTGTGCCCGAAGGGGGCGTGGCTGGGCGTGGCGGGGGGGGGGGGAGTCGTTAGCAAAAGGCGTGGGTAGGCCCGGCATTAAAGCGTAATTATGTGTATAATTTGTTGTAATTTGCTGTGAAAAGCTTCACAAACAGCCGCCACACATGAGATGAGCGCATTAAACCAGGCCCTAACCCCCTCCCTTCTCTCCCCCGACCATCTAGGCCATCAATCGCAACGAAAAAGTTAAATAAACTCATTAATATGCGATAATCAGGCCAGGCATTAAACGCTCCTGCGAGTGTACACAGATACACGAACGGAGCATTTCGAGTTGCATGAATGCTACCAAAAAGGGATATTTTTGATTGAGCGCAAAAAGTTGAATTAAAATGAAAAAATAAGAGGAAGCAATACAATGAAGTCCCGAATGTCCAGCACTTCTACCTATTTAAAGTATTTAATATTTCTTACAAATGATAATTACATTAAATTAATTCATATGCAGTTATATTTTATAGGATTGGTAGAACAGAATTTTATGTAGCATATATATAAATATTTCATAGTGTAGAATAAGACAAGAAAGGAACTTTAACAGAAAGTTTAAAGTTGTTATTCAAATATACCTATAGGTTTGCTTAACGATTAACTTTTTATTAAAATGTAAAGGTAAATGATTCGATTTGTTATTATTTTTTATTATATTAAAACTTACACATTGCAATATTGGTTTCTTACCTCCCAGTAAATTTGAATAATGTGAGAATAAAAAATTAATTAATTGAATATTATTTATTAAGATAGAAATTTTGATATACTTCCCCAAGTTAAACATTTAACGCCTATTTGTATTGTTAAGTCAACAGTTTTTTTTGCAAAGCTTTCTCTGCAATCATTTTTATTTTCACACCCGTTTGCCCGTCTTTTTTTCCACTCGCTTTTCCTAAACTCCACATTTTCACAAGTTGGCTGCCATTCGAAATCTTTTCCTTTATGCCAATTGGCAGGTCACACCAATTGAACTTTAATCGCTGCTGACTTTTGTCATTGCTTTATCGTTTAGGCGACAACACAGGCTCCCTGCCCGTTTCCCGATTTCCCGACAATTTTCCCCGCCTCTTCCGAATTTCTCCTCTATCCCCCTTCCCAGTTCTTTTCGACCCATCATCCCCTGAAAATAGCTGCCAAAAAACGCGGTCCAGACGTAATCCCCGAACGCAGCCTTCCCCGGGTCCGGCGCTCTTTGTCTCATTGAATGGACCCTGCCACGCCCCCTTTTCAGGCCCCAGTTTCCGAATGTGTCGAATTTTTATGCCCGTCAGTTAGAAATTTTCAGCTATTTCAGCGAAAAGTAAAAAAAAGAACAGCCAGAACATTCGCGTGAGGAGAGGAGGAAAAATTTGTCGTACAAATCTTTGGAATTGCCCCACAGAGAACTATTTTCAATGCGTCGGAATCAATAAATTTTGGCCAGCTTCGCGGCAGCGTTTTGTCCGGCAATTTGGCGGAATATCCTAGATTTCCCCCCGGTCCTCTGACCGACCGCTCCGCTTCATTATCCCCCGTCGGTTGTCGATAGTTTGTCTGGGCTGTCGGTAATCGTAATTGCGGGTCTGATAAATATTAATGCCAGCTGTGTGTGCGAATTCGGATGGATCCCGTGCGCCTGAAGACGCTTTTGGCCCGAAAACGTTTTCCCCATTTCAGCTGTTTTGTCTAATGCACGTTTTATGGCCAACTTAGCACATGTACTCCTGGCTCCCACCTCGCCGTCTCCTCTGCGAGTCCTGGCCTCCTTCAGGCTCCTCAGCCTGAGCGCAAGTATATTATTTGAAAATATTTTCGGGTTCCGCATACTTTTGTTTTTGGCCAGCACTGGCGCAGTGTCCATAAATTTCAGTGAAAGTCATTAGCAAATAGGCTAAGGAGCTCTCCTCTTCAGCAATCTGAAAATAAATTCTCGAATTTGAAGCACGTGTGTGCTAAGAGCGGAAAAGCTAAAAAGCTAACAAGAAAAAGGGCCCCCGGAAAATATATATAAAAAATATTCCACTATAAATGAGTAAATGAGAAGCGGTCAATTGGAAATACAAATCTTCATTTTTCGGTAGCATAATATCAATTCAATAATCAAAAGTATTTTCAATATTTTCGGAAGTCATTTCAAAGAGAAATGATTTATTATTTAAATAACAACAGAACACGTGCTAACTAAAATAAAAGACGAGCAATAACAAATTCCAAAATTTATGAGTAATCAGTAATCAGTATCAGTTGAAACTATTGGGTTTTTGTTGTTATTGTTATTATGGAAATATAAAACAGAAAACACACGAAAGTAAATATATTTATATTAAAATGTTATTTGTTAAGTGTAGTTGTGATTACAAATTAATTGTTATTACAGTATGTGCGGAAGTTATATTACTCTTGTTAATTATTATGCATTATTTTGTAAAAATACATATCTTTTATTAAATAAATAATTATATATCAACTATAACAAACAATTTAAATTGAAATATATATAATTTTAAATAATTTCCTCCGAATTGGGTTATAATTTAAAGGAACTGTAAAATTTATAGGAAACAATTCTCTTTCATATTTATGTATATACATATCGATTCAAAAATCGTGCAAAATCTACCATGTTTCGATTCATAAGCTTATATATTTAAAAATACCTATAAAAGCAAATGAGCAGAAAATTTTTAATTGTTAATTGTTAATCAAAGCTCACTAAGCTTCAAGGTCAAGATGAATACTTTCTCTAGGGAATAATTAACATAGGTTTGCAAAGATAAGAATACAACAAAATAATATACAATTACTCAATTTGTTGATAAGAAACTGGCGCTTTCAAGGAAATACAAGTCCCAAATTTAACACATTGCTTTATAGCAGTTATTACTCAGCTAAAAGTATTGATTCTTAAAATTGTCTTTCAATGGAATTTACCCCATTTCCTTGAACTTAACTTTCCCAGAGTGCTGGCAAGGCGGTTATTTTAACTGTTTGATTGTAAAAAATGTTAATCGCCTTTTAGCTGATGCAATTCAAATGCCAATTGCGTTGCTCTCGTTCTAGGTTGCCATTATTCTGTGCCGTGTGTTTATAAATTATATTGATTCTGATTTTAGTTGAGCTAAAACTAGACGAAAGTTCAAGACACACAGACAAGAGTCACTGACAATCACGAAATTCTAGAGTACTAAGCACACGGTGAACTTTTTGTTTGATTTTTATATTTATTTTTTATTATTTTCATTTTTGGCCGGTAATTGCTCTGTTCGGAAGCTGGCTAAGACACCGTTAACGGTTAGTCGCCGACACTGTCATTAATTAGCGATTAAATTCGTTTTAGACAACAATTAGCCGCACTGCAACGCGTCTATCTATGTACAAACAAGGAATTTGACAGCGGACTCTGTCGCTGGTCCAGTTAATTAGCTTTCGGGCAAATAAAATAAAAACGAATGTGACTCCAAACGCACATGGAACAAACAACAACAAAGAGACCGAGGGATAAAATCGTTCTGGCTGCTTCTCTGTTTGCCAAGTTCTGACAGCCGTAGAAATAATAATACAACTCATTCCGAACCACTTGTTTAAACAGACGAAATCGCGAATAAGCAACTTAAAATTATTATCTCACAACAGACGCAGTGTCAATAAGAGACAACAACGCCATAATTAGTGCACAAATATATAACGTTTCTGCTTTATGCTGTCTTTTCAGAGAATTTCGGCGGAGAAACGAGCGGAGTTTCAAGACATCTTTTGCAAAGAGGATGCCTTGGGAAAAATACAATATAAAAATAATATTTTTCAAAATATATCTTAAATCGTTTATTTTATAAGCTGGAAACTGAGCACTACTTTCATCCATTCTTTACTTACTTTGGTTTAAAAGGTGTTTAAACAGAGTTTATAGGCACACTCATTTTTCTTATTGATTCAATTTGATAGCTGATATAGTTATAAGAGTTTGCCAGAATGCAGTTAATTTACAAACTTAAAAACAATATTTCCAAAGCTCAAAGTTTGATTTCAACAATTATGTGTAAAGTCTTATGAAACATATGTAATATCTTCAATGACACTTTCCTTTTCACACCTTTTTAATCAATTTGTACTTAAATGTATCATTTAATAATCAAGTATTAAGCGATCGTTGTTTTTAAATATTCAAATATAGCAACCATTTCGAGAAAATGTTTAAGCAATCTACATACATATATGAACACTTTTGAACGAACTGTCTGTCATATTTGCAGAGATATGATTAGAAATCTCTGATAAAAGAGAACAATGCAATTCTGAAGTTAATATTATTTAAAGAGATGAAAAATTAAACAAAATGTGATTTAAAAATACAAATTGTACAACTGATCTACAATAAATAGAAGTTTTATAAATTTAAATATATGTGTATTGATATATTTATTTAAGCTCACAGCCACATAACCACCAGGAACCAAACCTATGATAGGAACTGGATCACCTCAACATCAAATAATAGCTAACCGAAGAAATGATATACTGGCCAGGAATAGGGCGTTTCAAGGCTAAAAATAGACCCAAAAGGGGGTTTGGTGGCACCGTTGTTTGCTACCAAAAAGCGGCGTTCCGCAAATATACTCATACATCGCGTATACGTAATTGCCTGGTTCAATGAGAAACGCCCAATTAGTGGGGTTTTCTCGCTTTGTTTCAGAGCTGGCAAGCCTGGCTTGGAAACCCAGCTCGGAGCCGAGTTCGGTGGAAAGTGGCCAGCGAAATCGGCAATAGCAACAATAACGACACGTGACGCAACGCAGCTGTGTGTCCGAATAGACGAGCGTTGATTTATCTCTCTTTAAAGTTCTCCGTATCAAGCTGTCAACGCGTTATTTTAGCTCCAGACACGCTGTGGGTTACACGCGCCTTGCAGCTCACCCGAAAGCCAGAAGTTTGATGCCGTTAAAGTCGCAATGCATCGTAATGTGTAATTAAACAAAACCAATAAAGTGACAGAATCTCAGTGGAAAAATATATACAGACAACAAAAATCTCGTTTTCGGGTGATTTGAATATCCGTTCTGTCGTTCTTCTTCCGTGTTGTGTTTTCTCGAAAGAAAAAGGTGTATAAAAGGTAATCCAGCCTCAAAATGATATTCGGACGCTGGACGCGTAAGCAAATACTCACGATGTTTGGCCTGGGAGCTGCCCTTGTGGGTGTTGTGATTGTGATCGGTGTCCTTAACAGCAGTGCCTCCTCCAAGGAGCTGCCCTGGAACGATGCGGCCAGATCGAAGTGCTACAAGACCAGTCCCAATACCACGCACTCCACCCTGGAGCTAGTGCACATTGTGTTTAGGCATGGCATTCGTACCCCCGTCGACACATATCCCAAGGATCCGTATCTCAAGGATGGCTTTAAGCCAACGGGCTGGGGACATGTGACCAATGTGAGTGCCAAAAAAGATTCAAGTTTACCAAAGACTTGTTCCGCTTGTGATTTTAAGTGTTTTTATCTGCTCACTCAAATAAAATTTAATTAGCCTATTATATTGGCCATGAAAATATTAAGTATTTTGACCAAAAGTTCAATATTTTATTGCTTTGTTTTTAGTCTGGAAAACGCGAACTCTTTGAAATTGGTCGTTGGCTGCATCGTCGCTATGGTGGATTTATGGGACCTTACTACAAACCCGATGTAAGCTACTATAATATTCGAAATCTCCTTTTCTAACATCCTAATTTCTTCAGCGACTGCATGCCCAGGCCACAGCCTCTCCTCGAGCTATGATGTCCTTGCAGACAACACTGGCCAGCATGTTTGAGCCACGGGGAACCCCAATGGAGTGGAACAAACACCTCAATTGGCAACCAATTCCCATTGTATCCGAACCCTTGGACGAGGATTCGGTGGGTTCTTACTTATAAATTACTCATTATTTTAGCTAATAATAAGGGTTTTATTTAGCTGCTGCTGGTTCGTACACCTTGCCCCCGGTACTTCGAGGCTCTGGAGGAGGTCTTTAAGAGACCAGAAGTGATTGCAGAAACGGAACCCTATGAACAAATGTTCCGTGAGCTCACGAATTTAACTGGAAAATTGGTTCAGAGTGCCGAGGATATTAATTCCCTCTATATAACCCTATTGGCTGAACAAGAATTTGGTTATAAACTGCCAGATTGGACCAAGGATTACTTTCCAGATCGTATGCAATTCCTGGCCGAGCAAAGTTACGTTTACAACGCTTACACGCCCGAGATGCAGAAGATCAAGGGAGGTCCTTTTCTCAAGAAAATGTACAAGGAGATGTTAGCCAAGAGAGCCGGCACCTTGAAGCCAAAGGATAGAGGAATGTATATCTACACAGGTCACGACTGGACTGTGGGCAACATATTGTCCGCTCTGGGGGTTTGGAAGCGTCAAATGCCCAGATTCGCTGTGATGGCCATCTTTGAGACTCACAGGGACAAGGAGACGGGGGAATATTATGTGGAGGTAAGTGATAATAAATGCTGTGCCTGAGTGGAGGTAAAACCTCCTAATAAATGCTATAGAGTTTCACCTAATTTTCTCTCTTTGTAACCGCAGATCTTTCTCCGGAATGACGAGCACGGATGCGTGGAGCAGCTGCAACTGAAGGACTGCGATCTGAGGTGTCCACTGAGTCGCCTGATCGAACTGAGTGCAGATGTTCTGCCCAACGAGTCGGTGGAGCAGAGGTGCCGACCCCATGACCCTAACTTCGTGGAGCCGCCACCGCGTATAATCGATCAGATTGGCCGATAGAGAGAAGCATCTAGCCAAAAAGTGAAATGTTTGCACTCAGTATTACCATTATATGCATATACTCCACAGAATAAAAATCCCCAAAAACATATATATAACAGACCAGAAGATCGTTGAGTTAATTCCTTGGGAGGGGGGAATGATTTTCGTGTGAAACTAATTAAACTGAATTTTTTGTGAAATGTTTGCTATTGTAGTTGATGATTGTGCTGATTGAGCGCTCGCTCTTCGCTGCTCTTATCTATATAAGTATATGAATGTATTTGCCAGAGCGACTACATAATCGAGACTTAAAAGCAGTCCGCAGTTCTATTGATGCAGTCACTCAACGCACAAGCCCCAACGAAGTCGGTTCACTTAATTCCCAACGATTTGCACAATTTAGTTTGCGAAAATGCTAAAGTTCCTTAGCTTGCTGCTCGTCGTGAGCTGTTTCTTGATGGTTCGCGGTGGTGTTATCGAGATTCCCGAGGAAGTTAGCCAGGTTATCGAGGATATTCCCAAGACTCCAGAGGTCTCACCCCTACACAAAAGCAGTGAAAGTAACTCAACCCTAAGGCTGGTGCATGTGGTAAATATGTGGAAAAAGTAAAAAATAATTAAGAATTAGTGCTCGTTATAAATTTGCTAACTAAGCCAGTCAACAGACCATATAATTATACCAAAATCTGATAAATTATATTGTGGTGACAAATTGTTGTTAAGTCATATAAACAAAAAACTCTCTTAAGTTAGCCGTGATTCCGTAAATGTTCTCTTCAAAGCACCACTCGGGACACCCCAAGCGAAACCAGCTTGCAGTTCAAGCGGCGTATACGTAATATTGCATTAAGTACCAAGACCTGAAACCGGTTTACTGGAACTTAAACTTCAAATTTATGGGGCAACTCATTGTATAATTTGTTTCCCCCATTTCAATTTGCATAATTATAACTCAATTAAATTAAATAAGTACGCAAATAAATCGATGTGGGTGCATAAATATTTTCTCATTAAAATCAGTGTTGGCATGTGCTTAATTAAAGGCAAAGATATAATTAATTACTTTGAAATTACCTTTCCTGGTAAATTGTTCTTAACCACACATAGCTGGGAAATAATATCATTAGTGAATTTAATTTAAAAATACTTTTGTTAGACTTATTATTTTATAACTACATTTAATTAAAGAGTTTTTCATTCATATATTCAGATATTTATCTTCATAAATTATTAATTTATTTATTCAGCGGCATATGCAAGTTACTATATGAAAGTGAAGTCATTAAACTTATACTTATTACATAGTCTGCGTTACAAATTAATTATATATACCTTGATATAGATTTGGTTTCACAATATTTATCATATATATTTATTCTCCGCCAGCTGTTTCGCCATGGCCCTCGCACTCCCGTCAACACTTATCCGAAAGATCCGTATATCAACGAGACCTATGAGCCCTACGGATGGGGGGCACTCACCAATGTGAGTATTGGGCAAACACAAACAAGATTGCCGAAATTAAAATGCAATTTCCATTTGACAGGGTGCTAAAGTGGAGCTGTATAAAATAGGCAAACAACTGCGTCAGCGCTATAAAGATTTCCTGGACCCCTACTATCAGCCCGATGTACGATAAGTGGAGCAAGCTCAGGGGCATTAAGCGTAATCAGTCCGTTGCCATTCCAGATGATCCGTGCCCAATCTTCGGAGTCACCACGCACCCTGATGTCAATGCAAATGGTGCTCGCTGGACTCTTTCCTCCAGAGAACACGCCCATGGAGTGGAACCTGATGCTCAACTGGCAGCCCATACCCATTGTGATGGAGCCCGAGGAAACAGATGTGGTAAGTCTTAAGATTTTATCTTGTTATAGGAAATAAATGGAAATAAATGGTGAATTTATGAAATATAATTCCTATTTGCAGCGCATAAGGATGAAGGCACCGTGTCCCCGCTACGAGGAGGCAGTTTCGGAGGTGATGAACCTGCCGGAGGTTAAGCAGCTGCACGCCGAGAACTCCCAGCTGCTGCAGGAACTGACCAACCACACCGGACTCAATGTGACCTATGCCCATGATGTCACCAACATATTCATCTCACTGCTCTCTGAGCAGACTTATGGCCTGGATTTGCCCCCATGGACCAAGGACTATTTCCCCGCTAAGATGCTACCCTTGGCGGGAAAGTCATATGTCTACGATGCGTATACGGCCGAGTTGCGGAGGATGAAGGGAGGTTTCTTTGTGGAGCTACTTCTCAAACAAATCCAGGCCAAGATCTCCGGAAAGTTAGAGCCTAAGGATCGCAAAATGTTCTTATCCTGTGGTCATGACTGGACCATTACAAATGTTCTATCAGCCTTGGATGTTTGGAGTGCTCAGATGCCCCGGTTTTCGGCTTTGATCGCCTTTGAGTTGCATCAAAATTCCGAAAATGGAGAGTATTTCCTTGAGATCTACTTCCAGAACGATCCTGAGGAAGAGCCACAGCAGCTGCAAATTCCAGGATGTGACAAACAGTGTCCCATTGAAAAGTTACAGAAGCTAATCAAGGACATTTTACCCAATGCGCCCTACGAAGAGCTGTGCAGGGCCAAGGGCACCCTAGAGGCAGCCAAGATCAGCTATCATTAGAGAGCAGAGTTCCATGATTGATGATCTTTGATCATTGTGCAGTATTAAGATTATATAAACAAGAAATATAAATAGCACTTAGATGTATCTTTAATTCAAGTGTTTGATTGATGGGCACGCAAGGGAGGTGTATTTATTTGTTAAATTAGTTTTTTAGGTGTGAGTTTAACAAGTTTGATGATGAAACAAATTAGCAGGAGGTGTATTGGAAACTTTGACTACTGACAATATTTTAATAAGCAAAAATCAGTAGAATAGATCAAATCTTTCAAACATTCAAATTAAAAAAAAATGTTTAATTAATCACACAGTAAACTGATTTTTAGCTGCGACCTATTTCTAATAAGAATTTAAAATGTTTTTTCTGTTTCGATTGTTTTAAAATCCATCCGACTTTTGTCAAAATCCCAAAAAAATATAACTGAATTTAAGTAGGGAAAATAAAAAGTCTTTAGCATAGACAATTATATTATTTGTTTGCTAAATTATACTTTTTTGTGGCATACTTTCAGGCAAATTTGATGGTAATGAGGGATGTGTCTAGGAAAAATAATTACATTTACATAACATACAGCATCCATGTTGAAAATAAGGACTTTAATTAAAAATTTGGCACCTTAAAATAAAGTGAAGTAAAAAGAGATAAAAGGAATTTTACAGCAATAAAAAGCAATCATATAATTTTTAAACAAATAACATTGAAATGTTCATGGTATTTGTATATTATAACATATTTGCTTAAATAATATAATTTTTTCAAATTTTTTTAATGGAATATCTTGATAACCATTGTGTATATCTTAATCAACCCTCTCTCCCCATTGGAACCCACATCCATCATATAAAAAGTGTTCAATCCCACTTAAATCCAAACAGTTGGCATTTGCGGCTTCACTCACTCGGATCGGAAGTAAATCACCAAACGGCAAACAAACAAATCATTACAAAAGGGCAAATGGACACCAGCACCACCACCACCACCATCACCACCACCACCACCACCACTTCCACTCCACAAAAGCTTCCGGACCAGCCGCCAGCCCAGCCCCGAGAAGCGATATTCAAGTTCGGCAATTAAGCAACGCGAATGGATATCGCGGAATTAGCATAATGCTCGATCGGGAGGTACGGCGATTTATTATCGGAGTGATTACACACGCAGGTCGGATGACAAATTCGTTGGTATTTCGACGCCAGCCAGGAGAGTGCGGGTAAAGAATTAATCCGAGAGTTCATATAAATTAAAAGACGCCTCAAACGCTTCGGCATTGTTGTCGGCCTCCGGGGCTTCTGGTCTTCATTTCCCTCGGTCAGACACACATGTTACTCTATAGTGACCATACAATAGACGCCCGGCCACAGTGACAAATAGAATAATAGTGATAAAAGAGAGCGCTGACGGTGACGAAAGCATTTGGCGATAATGGAACGATAAAAGAGTCAAACGCTCGACTTTTCGACTCTTGCAATGACACTCACCCCGCAGTGTTCCGGACGATAGTGCTCGCGTGCCACCTTCGGAGAAGTCGAACATTTAAATATTACCTTAGTGCCTATCGGCCTAGGCCTTAGCTACATATTCGAGGGCAAACAGGAGATAGTAGGAGCTAGTACACTCGAAGAAACACTTGCCACCACAAAAAACCCGTTGTCTCCGGTGCCTCTGTGTAAATAAGCTAGTTCGCGGCTTAATTAATTCGAAGCTTGGTAGACGCAAAAATAGACAAAGTTCGAGCGAACGGCGGTCATAACAAGTTAGTCTTCGATCTGTCCCGAGACCGTTGACTCCCCCAAGAAGCGAGCCCGAGACCGGAGCGCGAAGCCGGAGAATTGACCAGGTCGGAGAATCGGAGCCCCTGACAAATTCCACGAGTATAAAGCCCGGCCACCAAAATGCCGCAATCGCATTTCACTCGGAGGCATTGTCTAGCGATGACTGGCGGATTAATTACATCGGCGGTTCTCATCTGGTGCCTTGCTCACTCGTCAGTCGAGTCGTCCGGCAAGCTCTACGATCCCGGCACTGATAAATCCACGCTCGAGCTCCTCCATGTGGTAAGTCGGTGCACATTGTCAATCAATCATCGAATCGAATTTAAATCAGAGAATCTGAAATTAAAAAATTTAATTATAAACACGAGTCTGGAACACAAAACAGCTGTGCAGCTAAACTACAAGTGATTAGTGATTACTAAACTCTCTTGAAAATATTAAATTCAGTGAATGTTTTAGCAGTGGCTCAGGATTAGAATTCTTTCTTATCAGTTGGTAAAATAAAAGAAGTTTAAGTCCTTTGGCTTGAAGGAGTATTTTTGTTAGAGTGAGTGAGCCAAACCTAAAGCCTGCAAAGGAATTTGTGAAGTTCAATTAATAAACTCAGTGCTACTCAGATACCAATTAAATTTGAATTTAAATTAAAATTGTTAAAAAATTTAAAACTAATTGATGAATTTTCTGGTAAAACACAAATAATTCGAGTTCACAAAAAATATATTCATTCTTTGTCGCAATAATAATATTATGAAATGCAAAATATATATGTATAAATAAGTGATTTGCACGGTTTCTCCTGCAATTGTACCCTGCAGTTATGTATTAGTACCGGTCAGTAATAAAAATTGTGATATTTTAGGCATTTTCCAGATATTTAAACAATTTATTTAGTTTATGAAATACCTCTTAACAACATAAAAAATCATATCAAAATGTAATTTTTTGTATTTGTTGAACTATCAGTAGAGGCAAAATACAGACCTCCCATAAATTGATATCACCTGGGAGAAAAACAAGTTTACTGTGATAAAGCCCACACACACACATTGTGGCGTATCTTTTTTAAGTCATATATTACATATCCTAAAAAAAGTCTCGCCAATTAGCACCGCTTCAACTAATATTCCGGCGTCAGCAATAATCTTTTCAGTTAAAATCCAGCTGATAACGAACATTATTACATTATGGCAGTCTCTCACAAAATTGTGTTTACCGCATTGAGAAATGCCATGGCATTGACATTTACGTGCTCAGTAAAAACACACATTCTGTTGATAAAGCATTTGTTTATAAACATTTTAAGCGAAAGTGCAAGGGAGGGCACTTTTTTTTGTAGCCGTGTGTAAAGTCATAATTATGATTGTAGTATACAATTTAGCGAACTGTCAGCTCCGGTAGCAGATAAGACTCGATTCGGTCATTTAATCGCAGTCATCAGTACGGAAAGTGAACTTGTTTGGAAAAGATATGTACGTATAGCTGGTGGAATGCCAGAAGACCTGGCTTTTATCACTTGTATTATATCAGCTGTTTGAGCCATATGTCTGACTTAATTCGATCCATTCGGATAACGTGGCATTGTACTATGTTATAATAATTTACAACTGACGATCGAGTGCAGCCAGGCGAGAAGTTCAGCTGAGAATATTTCTCAAGCGGCAGATAATTCTTTTACAGCTAATTGAGTTAAAAGTGAGTTGGTTTTATAAAGTTTGGGCTGACCTTGGAAAAATCAATTGGCTTTTAATGACTGCTAATGGAAGCCCGGGCGAAATCCAATTAAAGAATGCAAAAATAAAAATACAACAAATTTTGAAATTAGTTGGCGTGATGCACATTTTTTCATTCCAGCTGTGTAATTACGTAAATACTTTTATTCAGTCGTGATAAAACAGGCAAACCTGTATATGCGCATATATTAAATATTCTGCCAAAATAACTCTTACTTTAATTAAGTCGATTTTAAACTTCAGCAGCTCGTACATCTTTGAAAGACCCGCAAAAACAACACCACAAAAATTAATTACAAACCCGAAAAACCAAACAAAACCAAAGCAAAATGAAAAACGAAAAACCGGCTCCCCAAATTACAGTTCGCACAAAAAACCAGTCCCCTCATTCAAACGTAAAATAAAATAATAAAACAAAACTGCGACGCACTTTTGCTTTTTGTGTGAGCTACGAACTGGAAACCCATTTACCACAGTCGCAGAATAATGTGCTAGAAAAGGCTATAGACACAGTCCGATCCAGAGATCAGGGCTGACCTTCGAGCGAGGCGCCGTCTTATCAGCACGGGATTTAAAGCAATTAAACGGAAAAGCAATCGATCGATCAGGGAAAACATTTCCGTGAAAATCTGGGGTCGCACGAGCCAAAGATGCGTATTAATCATCGCGTGTGTGGAGTGTCTTAAGCTCTTTTAATATACATTTAAGTAATAATTAACAAGAGCACAAATTATGTAGATTAGCCAGGGAGAAAACTATTGATGTTTATGTTAGTGTTGGGAAATGAAAGTAGTTAATTAAGGTATTCTTGCAACTTAAAAGAAATCCAACATTTATAATTCATTGCAGACCATTAATTTATTATAATTTTAATAGAACCTGTTTTTTAAAAGAAACAATCCACCATTGTCTGCCAGCTAATTAATGTGTTTCTGCCTTTCGATTGTCAGACACGTCTGTATTTATTTTCGTCCTGCAGTGTGGCGAATCCATTTGACTAATAAAAATTGTAATTGCTAAACTTCAGGTATTCCGACATGGACCACGAACGCCGGCGGATACGTATCCAAAGGATCCGCATGTAAATGAGACCTACTATCCATTTGGCTGGGGACAAGTAACAAATGTGAGTGCAGAAAAAGTTGGAAGTTGGGCAGCACAAACTTTTGCCTCGTCATCCCCCAAGCCCAAGCCCAAGCCCAAGCCCTTATAGCCCAGTCCCACATCTCCCCTAGCAAAGCATTTAAATAAATTGAAATGCAAATGTTTGCTGGTAGAGCCAAGGGAACTAGGGGGGAGGGAGGTGGTGGTGGTGCTGGGCTGCGGGGGGAAGGCTGCATTAACATATACACATGCATATGTTTATGCAATTGCAAAAATGCAAGGCATTTATTATTTTATAACACTTCTCTCCATCTCTGTCTCTGCCTCGGACGCTCTCCGCCGGCTCTCCAATTCTACAATTCCCCGCTTCTGGTGTTGTCTCACGTGCCATCCGCTCATGCCATGCAATAAATCAACGCTCCAGAATGGCAAACGCGAGCTGTTCAACATTGGTACTTGGCTGCGTAAGCGTTATGGCAAATTTCTGGCGCCCAACTACAGTCCCGATGTGAGTAAGCAGTCACTAACGAACCGACAAGGAAACACACTACACTGAGAGAAAACAATTCAGTTGCGAAGTACTTTTTTACAAAAAATTTTTGCAATAATTGTTGTCTTGCAATTTTATTTTTTCATCAAAACTGCACGAAAGTCTTAGGTTTTACTATTTCAACTTGATATTACTATTGAGGTAAATTTATTATATTTATATTCTTAAAGTATAGGATTTGCACTGAATTGGTATGAACTAATAATTTATTTCAAAGCAGCGGCAATATTAATTTCAAAAGAACTAAAATATGTATAAAACCATTAAACAGGTATCTAAAATGATGCTACAATATTTTAAAAATATCATTTCTTACTTTTATACACCTATTTAAAAGTTTTAAATACCCCACTGAAACACTAGAATATAATTTTAATACATCGTCACATAATGATTTTATTTTGTGCAGTGCTTAGCAACTCAGTGTTTTCTCTCTGTGTATCCGCTCCACACACCCTTACCAGCACGTCCGTGAGGCGGTGTCCTGATAGTGCGGACGTTTACAAATTGCAAAGCTCAAGCGCGCTTGGCTCATCACTCAATTCCTTCCTTTCTCCTTCTACTTCTCTTTTTCCCTTTCCATATCCGTTTCGCCGCTTCCTCTTCCGCTTTCTTTTGCCTCGATAGTTGGTCCACGCTCAGGCAACGGGTGTTCCGCGGACCCACATGACCATGCAGACTGTTTTGGCCGCCTTCTTTCCGCCGAAGGGCACGGACATGGAGTGGAATAGTCGGTTTAATTGGCAGCCCATACCTGTCTTCTCCCAGGAGCTCAATGAGGACACGGTGCGTATACGTGATGGCCAAAGTGATTAATCGAAAGTATCGGTTCCACAGTGCAGATCTATCTTTAAGTGATGGCAACACAACTATAGATTATAAATCGATAGATAACATATACTCAATTTAAATCAGTTCTTAACTTAATATATATATAAATACATTTTCCAGTTGCTGCTCGTTCGCACTTCATGTCCCCGATATTATGAGGCCCTTAATGAAGTCTACGAGCTACCTGAGGTGAAAGCAGAAATCGCTCCCTACCTGCAAATGTTCAAGGAGTTGGAAGAACACACCGGCCTGAGCTTCAAGGAACCCGAGGATGTGCAATCTCTATATTTGACCCTGCTGGCCGAGCAGGAATGGGGTCTGAAGTTGCCCGAATGGACCCATTCGTACTTCCCCGAGAAAATGCAGTTCCTGGCCGAACAGAGTTACATTTACAACGTCTACACACCCGAGATGCAGAAGATCAAGGGTGGGCCCTTCCTCAAGAAGATGTTCGACGAAATGCAGCAGAAGAAGAACGGAACCCTGAAGCCCAGTGGCCGGAAGCTGTTCATCTACACGGGCCACGACTCGACGGTGGTGAATGTTCTCTCCGCCCTGAAGGTCTGGGAGCGACAGCTGCCCGCTACTCCTCCATGGTCCTATTCGAGCTGCATAAAAATAAGGAAACCGGTGATTACTGGGTGGAGATATACTTCCGGAACGATCCCAAAGCTCCCGCCCAGAAGCTGACAGTGCCCGGCTGTGAGTTCCAGTGCCCCTTGGAAAAGCTGCTGGAGCTGGCCAAGGATGTGGTGCCCACGGAAGCGGATGCCAAGCGGTGCGAGTCTCGAAACATGGGCTTCACAGAGCCACCTCTGCGAGGGCCATGAAAACCAGAATCTAGTCCCCAAGGAAAATTCGAAAAGGTGCTACAATTCTCAGGGAGTGGGACTGCCACAGGCCCACCAATAAGCCACATCCACCAAGTTAGGTCAATAGTTTAGTTTAAGCTGAATAAAGCGATACCCATTGTGGGTTACTTCAAAATATATTGAAAAGTTGATTTAATATAAATAAATTAATAATATACTTTTCAGAATTAAAAAAATAAGCTGAGTTATCGACCATTGAGATCCAAAGTGCTTTAAGGTTCTGATCAGGGCCCGAGTTCGGCATTTGGTGTCAGATACTGTCAGCCGGCGTCATTTTCGCCCCATGTGGCAGCCAAGTTGGCTCATTTCCGCTCTGTGGCGACAGTAGACTGCCGTCGCCGCCATTGCCCAATAGGCCGCTTCCGCTCGGCCTTTGCCAGCGGCAAACGCAAACAACTTCCGCACTTGTTTAGCCAGTTGGATGCGCCCCTTCATCTCTATCTCTAGGTTTTGTCCCAGCTCCAGTTCAGTTCCATTTCTATTGCTTTTGCCATCTCCAGACCCCTCATGGTCTTGCCCATTTTTGCCAGGAGGTGACATTTTTCGCATTGCGGTTTACCATAAACTATTTCATAGGGGAGTTGTGTGCCACCTCGACCATTTCTTTGGCCCTAACCATCTGCTCATTCGCTTGTTGGCCATTGTTTACTCGTGTGCGTTGCCATCTCTCTTGGCCCAGTCTGTGTGTGTGTGCCAGCTTTGCCTCCCCCCTCTGTTTGTGCTAGTGTGTGCATATCTGTAAACTTTATTTGTCAACGGGACGCATATGTTGTGTGTTTGCCAAAAAATAAACGAGTCCCCATGAATGGCACTATTCTCGTTTGAGCATTCCCCGAATGCAAACAGCTCGTGTGTTTGTTGCTGCTTTTAATTTTAGCTTAATTTGATTTTCCGGCGGAAAGGGAAGTGTGCTCTTGCGAGTATGTGTGGGTGCCTGACAAATCTATAACTGCATGTGTTGAGCTTTGATGATTAATGGTGGATTCTTAGCGGGAAATTGTGCTACAGGAAGCTTAAGAAGAGCGGGATTTGTATTTTAAAGGACTTGTTACACAACAGAAACATCACTTAAAACGTATATTAATTATGAAATAAGAAGTTATGTACTCTAAACAAGTATAATCAGAAAATACACACTCATAAGTCTCTATTAGCCTAACGTACCTTTATAATATCCTTTGCCTGCAGCAGGACAAACTTTATAAATCCTTCATCTCGCGCAGCCTCTTTCGTTTAATCAAATCATAAATAACCCGACGCTCATCATCCTGGGACTCTCCACATTCATAAATTTCATCATTCCAGACCCTGCTTCCCAGACTAGCATAATTATTAACCCTATTATGCACTTACTTATGGCAGTCGTTCCTCGTTCATCCCCGACTGCCCCCGGAATGAGACATATGCCCGGGTCCACAAATCTAGTTACAGCAGACTGGAGCTTCAGTTTCAGCTTTGGCTTCAGTTTCATCTCCGGCTCAGTGGAAAAAGTTTGCTCGCCTTACCAAACTTTTGTGCGGGCTAAGTGCAGGTCTTAGGATGAAGTTGGCCATTTTTTGCTCCGATTGCGACTGCAACTGCAACTGCGACTGCGACTGAGGCGAAAGGCATTGCAGTGGCCGGTTGGTTTCCACAAGTTTCCACTGAGCCGCTGCACTTTCGCCCCACATATTTCTGCGGTCAGCTTACTAACGACTTTTCGATACGGACCGTGCACCGTCGAAACTTTTGCACTTGGCCAAGGAGATAAAATTTGCCGATTTGCGAGCGGGGCCACCTGCCACCTGCCACTGACACCTGCTCCTTCAGCTAAACTGCAGGAGGAAGGAGGTGCATATTAATAAGCTGCTCAAATGTTTGCCAGCAAACAAAGTGCCAGGATTCCAGCGCTCAGAGTCGGATGCCGTGTAGTTCAGTCTATTAAAAGGCACAATAGACTTCCTCCCCCCAAAACTGAGGACTTGAGCAAAGTATGAGGCATGTGATGCTTCATTTCCGCTTCCCTTAAAACTACACAGGAATCAAAAATATATGTGAAAATATTTCCCAGCTAATATAAACTAAAACAAAAGTATTCCTGTGACAAACTGAATCTTATATTAAAAAAAAAACTCTGCATGTAGCAAGTTTTCTCTCTCTGTAAGGAGAGTGAAAGCTTTCCTCACTCAAACTGTTTGCCGTTTAGTTTCGCATAAAGCGTAGTCTGCCCTGTAAAATGCATAAATCTTTGTTGGCCCTGGAGCTCGGCTCAGTCCGGGATTCCGGGGCTAGGTCCTCGGTCCCAGGTCCCAGGTCCTGCATCCTGGCAGCAGAGTTTTCAGCCTGCAGCTGCTTGAGCTTCTTGTTTGTTGCACGTTTCATTTGTCAAAAAAGGTTTAGGAATTTTATTGCCAGTCCCGGCACTCGGAACCTGCAGCCCAGAGCCCAGTGGGTGGTGGCAAAGTGCCCAGGGAAATTGTGTGTGGCATGCGGCTGAGGTGGCGAACTGCTGCACTTGTCGGCTGCCTTAAGTGGCAACTGCTGGGAGCCCATTGAAGTGCCACTGATAGCACAATAATTTGTAAACGGCTTGCCCCTCACAAGGACAAAGAAATGCAAGGTTAACTAACTACCAGCAGGCAATTGAAATTAAAGCCGGATGGCAAAAAGCAGCAGGAAGGTGAATATTTTAGAGAGTTTGTTAATGAAAAAATTGCTTAAGGCAGTCTTGGAAAACTTATGCAACAAAAAGTATTTGATCAAATATAAAAAAGAACAAGGATATTCAATCCTTCAATTCTTTAATTCATCCAATGAAGTTTTTGATTCTTTATTGTAGAAAACCGCTTAACATTATATGTTAGTAACATTACATATGACATTTTTAATTTCAGTATCATTGTTTTTAAGGCAACAACAATAAAGCGAACTCAAGTCAATGTCTGAATCAAAAAGACTCACATCAAACAAGCCTAGTTTTTAGAGTAAAAAGAATCAACTTTACGAAATAAAGGAGAAGCCAAGAAAATGGGGAAGCAGGACGAAAGCAACGCGATATTCTATTTGACATTCGTTATAATATTCATATGCGGCATTTTGATATGGTATTTTTCGGGCTTCAATCACGAGGTGGTAAAGGTCAAATTGATTCTGGTGTCCTTCCTGGCAGTCGTCCTGGTTCACAGCATCGTCATAACGCCCATCAGGTTCATTATATTGGCCATCGATGCCGCTTCGTTTCCAGCTGCTCAGGCGGCCGTGATTCCCGATAAAAGGGCCAGGGCTGAGACGTTACTGGAGAGCCTTAGATTCCGGCTTCAAATGCTGCGCAGTGAGCTGTTGATCACGGAGAGCCATCGCAATGAGGAACTGAACCTGAAGTACCAAACGATTACCCAGGAACTCAAGCGAATGGGCATGCTGTTTCTGAGCTCGTTGCTTTTGAATGTGGAGCGGGCTGAGGATCAATGGGTATATTTTAACACCGCCAACATGCGGTCCCTTTTCGACTACAATCACACCTCTACCTTGGGGCTTTCCAATGCGATCGTCCTGCCGAACATATATGACTTTATTGAACTTTCGCTAATCATTCCATTCACGGACACGGATGCGAAAAGTGGTGGCAGTCCGTGGGTACATGCGGAGGGGACTAGATTGCTGGGAGTGGTGAGACTGAGGCAAGTGAGAACCAGGAACAGGGACGGGGGACTGCAAAATCCCGAATTCGACAATGAGGACTACTCCGAAGGATGGACATTGCCGTACCAAAGGGAATCGTACACGGACAAGTTCTGGCCGATCTACCAGCCGTGGGTGTCGCGTGTTCCCAATATTCAGGACCGCATTATTCTGAGCGTCAGGCACCGTGGCGGCTTTATCTACTATCCGGAAATTACGGGCTACGAGAACCTCCTCTGCGACACCCGAGCCAAGAGCATGATGGTGCTGAATTACCTAAAGGACCACAAGTGGCTGGACTTGAATACGTCGGCGCTGTTCATGGACTTCACTCTCTATAGTGCGGATGCGAACCTCTTCAGCGTCTGCACACTGTGGTTGGAGCAGTTCCCGTTTGGGGGAATCAAAACGCACCTGAAGATCGAGAGCTCCCGGTTTCTGGAGGGAGTGAGTGAGCTGTCGGGCTATGGAGTGTTTACTCTGTATTTCTTCGCCATCACCTGGTTGATATATGCCAAGGCCTTCTGGGTTAAGGTGTGGTACGAGCCCAAACAGCTGAAGAACCCCTGGATGATAGTGGATGCCTTGATCCTGATACTCAGCTCGCTGGTTGTGGTGGCCCGTGGAGTGCGGGACAACATGGTCCGAGGAATGATCCGAAGAGTGGAAATCTCTGTAATGGTCGATTTTATCAACTTCAGAGAGCCGGCAATGCTGTCCTACCTCTGCAAGATACTGGAAGGATTTTCTATGGCCCTGATCACGATGCGTCTGTGGAAGGCGATGCAGTTTAGCAGCACCTTCCAGCTATTTACGACCACGCTTTTCACGGCCAAGAGAGATCTTCTTTGGACGATCATGGTGACACTGATATTTCTATCCGCCACGGGAACTGCAGCTGTCACCATCAATGGCAGTAACGCCATTCAGTTTAGCACTGTCCTGAAGGGAATCATTTCTCTCACCTGCTTTGCCTTTGGCTTCAGCAGCCACGTGGAGCCGGCAGATCTCTTCTACGGCGGAAAGTGTGTTGGAATTATGCTGTACGGAATTCTGGCCTTTGTGGTCAAGATGCTGCTCGTCAATATTATTGTCTCCATTCTAGAGAATCAGATGGCACAAGTCAAGGGCCTAAGGGATAAAGACCAAAAGAGTGTAAACAGTCATTTGACTTACTGCCAGTTCCTGCGCGTAGAGTACGCGTACGTTATTAATTTTTTCAGGAAATTCTTCAGCTGGAGATTGAAATATTTGCCAAGGGGCCGCACTGTTGCCGAGAATATTCAACGTGAACTTAACGAACAGCGGAGAAATGCAAAAAAGAGCCGTAGTACGTTTTACATTCGAGACCAACGCGAAACAGACGAAAGTCTCATTCAACTAAGATATAGGGAGCGAATTGAGAAAACTATAACTATAACGGCCATCCTGCAAACCCAAATGGACCTGATCGAGCGGTTGATGTTCGGGGATGACGAAGGCAATCTACCACCTCTCGGGGAGAACGAGAGTCCTGGCACATCTGGTCAAAATCAGAAAACTGAAAATAAACAATAACAAAAATAGATAAATATAATTTGACTTAATGTGATTAATCTGTGAGTCTAAGCACTATTTACGACAAAGTAAACTGATCTTAAAAGTTTTTAATTGTTCTTTTTATTTAGATGTTTATTTGCCCTTATTTGTCAACATTTTCTTCTGTCTTCCGCCTTGTTTATCCAAAGGTTTTCATACATTTCAGCATAATTAGCAAAGTGAATTAGCCATATCGAAGTTTCTTTTAATTTCAATCACAATGATTTCGATACCGGTTATTTCATTGTCACAAGCGACTATTGTTTTTTACTTGTTATTTTGCTATTAGAATATTTTGTTATATGTATCTTAATTTCTTACTGTTTATAAAACGGGTGTTTAAACTTTATATTTTTCCCACTTTTAAACAGTAAACATTTATTTAAAAAAAATTAACAAACTTAAACAATGAAATTTACTTAAGGCTATTTAGGCTCTTTTAGTAAAGATCTATCTAAACATTGAATAAGGACTTGATTAAGTTTCTGAATGGCTTGTTCTTCATTAAATGTATGTATTTAGATAAATATTACTATGATTTTGTTTAATATAATTTATTTCAATTGATTTCAGTAAAGTTAAAATAATACAAATAACAAATTTAATAGTTTGACTATTTCTTCTGAAGTATGATATGCTCTCCCAGAATTAATATAATATATAAAATTGCTTTAAAAATAATCTCTCAAAGCCTTTATGTTTTTAAAATTATTAAGATTATTATTATTACTCATACCATCACAGGAGTATATACTTTATTGGTTTTGGGGCATTTTTTGTTTATGTCATGGCTAAATAATTATGCGCAAACAGGGAAAACTTTAGACTTGAAAAGGCTTTTAAGGCAATTTGGCGCTCGCTTTGTTCGACTTGTTTGCTATCCAAGCATTCTGGCTGCGCTCCAAGTCGCCAAACTAAATGACTTGGCGATGGGGGCTGCGCACCACCCCTTACTATTCTTCTATCCTTCCCGATGCGATGCCAATTCACTATTGTTATGAAGTAGGCAAATAAAAATTTAATACGGCATGCTTTTAGGCCGCCGAGCGCAACTGCAAACTATTCCCAGCGAAATCTGAGCTAAATGCTAGCCCCAAACGGACTCTACAAACATTTTCAAACCGATCTCCCCATCTAAACAATTGCGAGTCGAAACTTTTGTGCCGCTTCTCCAACAGACCATCAGAACAGACAGCTAGTCTGGCAAGTGTTTTTCTATATATTTTTTGTGGTACTCGTGTCACTCGGGGCGGACTGGGAAAACTTTTATAATTATTAGCAACAAATGAGCAGTGACAGAGCGCTTGTGCCGTGACTGTAACTTTGCAGTTTTCTAGCTTTTTATTTCCACCGCCCAGACGGCAGAAATCACAAATGATCCCCGCCCTCAATTTAAAAGTTTTAACAACCTGACTGTTTCTGGATTTTACTCTGCAGGCTTAGGTGAGGCAGGTGCTGAGTGTGTGTCTGTGCTACCTGAAGACAAACGGTAAAAGAAGTAGTGGCCAAATCAGGAGCCATGTGGACTGCCTTTCGATGCGTGTGTGTACTCTGTGGGAGTAAGCTGCCCGAAAAGTTTTCCATTTTTGATCTGTTTTTGTATGTGACCACAATCAGCAGCTAAAAGTATGCATTACTTTTTGCTCACCTACCAGGGCTGCTGGCAGTCAGCAGTTGCCTGTTATGACACACACTCTGCGGAAACCATCCCCGAAAGCAGGCAACAGAGTTCGTTGATTCCGATGAAAACCATCCATGATGTGACTTTGATCAACAAAAGGAAAAATAATTAAATAAATAGAAATAAATTTGTTTATGTATTTACAATCATTAATTTGTATAAAAAAGCAATGAAGCTTACTTTGGCACACCGAATGTACCTTTCCAGTTCGCAAAACCGATCATTTAGGTTAAATGAAAGGAAGAGCTAATACGAGATATATAAAACAATTGTACAAATATATAATTTATTTATATTTTCATTAAATTCAAAATAATATATTTTTTAAATAATAAAATAACTATATCGAAGAGTTTAAATATCTTATATAATATAAAATATTGTAAATATATAAGCAGAATAACCAAATAATATAAACATTCGTTCCATTTAGTCATACATATTATATTATATTGAATACATTAATATATTTGCATTAAAATTATAAAATAATTCATATTGAAAAGTTATAATTATTATTTTAGTTTCCTAAATAATTCTTAAATAATAAAAACTGGTTATGTCTCGAAGTATATATTTTTCTATACAAATTTCGTTTCTATAGCAGATATATGATATAGTCGTCCGATCTGACCTGGTGTAACATTTATACTTATGATAGAAGGAAGCGTATCTGCAAAGGTTCATTCAGAAATCTCTAAACCTCAAATACTAGTTAGCATAAAACGGATAGATGGACAGACAAATAAACAGAGAGACGGACATGGTAAGCTTGACTCAACTACTGATGCTGACCAACCACATTTATATATAATTATACTTCATTATAAATAAAATAAGTAAGTAAGTATTAGCTAAATATACACTGCACCTGTTTCTTTAAAAGAAATTGTTATATTATCAATAATTATTAATTAAACTATACTAAACACAGAATCCGATTCTAAGCTTTTGTTCAGAACGGCTAAAAAGGTCCAACAAATAAGCTAATAATAATAATATTAAAATATAAAAATTCAATTCTTTTAATATCCAAGGTTTGTTTCTTAAGCAAGTAGGATTCTCTTATCAGTCTCATACAGTCTTTACATATTAATAAGATGAATCTGAAGCAAGATACTGTGTGTTAAAACGTTTCGAAAAAAAAGTAATTGATCCATCCATCCAACTAAGAATTTCCTAAAATAAATATTTTGAAAACCAGCACCTTGTCGACCGGCCTTTAAGAATACCCCACAAACATTTTGCAGGACACATTTGTGCGAGTTCTCTTCAGTCATACCTGCGTAAGCAAAGTACTCTTTAGTTCAGAAAATCTCTGTGGAAGAGAAACTGCTGAATGGAAGCCGGAGCACAAAGCGCTCTCTCTCCCATCCAAAAGAGGCAACATCGTCATGCCAGGCTTTTGGGTTAAAGTTTCAGCGGAGATACGAGTACGAGTGTCCGTGGGTGAGCTAGCTATCTCTGCCGACAGGACTCGTGGCAGGATTTAATTCATAACTCGAGTGCCGTGTCCTCGGTGTACAGCCAAGGTTAAGTGCTGCTGCAGCGCCAAACACGTCACTCCTCGAGTCCTGAATTCCTGAATCCTTCGAAGGATTGTATGTGTGTCTGCTTGTGTGTGGGAGAGTTCTTACCGCGGCCAGGGACTCGTCTTTTCCTTTATTTTATTTTTATGTTTGCCGCTACTTGAGCACGAACACCCCCACCGCCCACAACAAAAATAAAAGATATTCCTTCATTTCCCAAATTCAAGCGGAAAAGTAGGAGGGTTCCATCATAAACAATTCCCTAAAAATACAACACATCTACTTTGTCTTTAATCCCTGCTGAAAAAAGCATCCCTTTTGATTGAAATCGCCATTTACTAAATGACATTGACTCCAGAAAAAGCAAAAGACCACCGACCCAACATAATCAGACCTTGTCACGCCCAAAACAAAAACAAAATTTTCCAAAAATGATTTGCATAAAACTTTGCTGGGAAAAATTTAAAGCCACGCTGACCTTTGCCGTATCATTTTTTAAGCCGCAAAAACCCAAACCTTTTTAATTTACGCGACACGTTTCTAGCGCCTACACCTTTTTTGAGCAGTATTCGAGGAGGAGGATGGTCCACTACCATAAACAAACGATGGCCAAAAGCAATGCAAGAAATATTGGGGCAATCAAAAATGCAAATGTCACTACGTGAATTGTTAAATCGCAGGACGAATCCTTCCTTCAAAACAGCCCAGGGGCGGCAGTTTGCTTAGCGGAGGGGGTGGGGTCAATAAATTTTCCTGCAATACCGGGCCACATTAATTCATATAAATACATACATATATACATATATTTTCCGCCGTATTTATCGCAAAAAGTTAATTGCCAGCCCGTGCTCTCTATTAATCATATTCCATAATTTGTTTAGCCTAATTAGCCGTATAGATAGGCGGAGGCTGGCTTTGGAGGGATTCCCCTCTCCATTTAGCCAAGGATAGGCCTGGATCCTGGATCATTAGCCAGGGCGCCGGAGAGTTTCCAAGATTTTCGTAGGAGGCCTTTGTGAGTGGGCGGCATAGATTGGATTTCAACGGAGGCCCCATTAAGTCGTGTATAATTACCACCAATAATTTGGTTCTATTTCTAAATTATTTGTAAATTAGTGTATTCTAAAAATGGCAACTGGTAATGCTTTTAAAATCATGTAACATTTGTACATTAAAGTACATTTACACGCAGGAAATTCAATCACAAATGTCGCGTAAAGCTTCCGATTAATCATTACCTTCTATTTGAAAACCCAAACAATTAAGGATAAAAATACGTCAAAAAAACATAATATAATACTCTGAACATACAAAAAACTCAACCTGCATATTTTTACCCGGAGTAATCCCTTCTCATAATCAAATTAAATGGGAAACAAGAAAATAATCTTAGCAAACATGCTCCGGCGCTTGTAGTCGTGTTTCGGAGCATCCTGCATCAGATTTCGTGTTGCAGCCAAGTCAAACATTAAGCGAAATGTCGCCGGGCCATTATTCAACCATTTTGCGCCTTGTCGCCAAACAAAATTAACAGCCAGCGGAAAACATCTACCGGCAAACAAACGGCAAAAGGGAACAGGAACGGGCATAAACAAGTCATAAAGTTTTGTAACTAGGCCCTGTTACTTTTGGCATTTTCCAAATCTGGACCTAGAGCAGTACTAGCATCATTTTCCTTGCCATTTTATATGCCCTTTCCAGTGGATTTATGGTTACTTCGTTCAATAAATTAAAAATAAAGAATAAATTATAGATGTGCTTTTTAAGCATATTTACATTCTAAACTTTTTAATTCTTTTATAAAACTTCTAAAGCTTCATAAAAATAAGTGGAATATGTAGTTATTTGATACGTTTTTTTTTATTATTTCATATAGCTTGAAGTTAAATTAATGTTTCCAACGTTTTTTATCTAAAACCAAATTTAAAAGCTAATTAACATATTGATGGTGCATTTGTCGTACTCTAAATAATCACTAATTTAGTAAAATAATTGATTATACGGTGGTTAATATTATTGCCTATTGCATAGTTATGTTAAATGTTTATATCCTTAGTATTTCAATTTGATTTGCTATTCTAAATAATAAATTGTGCATCGGAATCAATAAAATAAAACTCTATATTTTATTTCTTATTATATTCTTTATTATTTTTAATATTTTACAATTAGACATAAAGCTTATTTCTTCTTATTTAAAAGTTCCCATTGCAGTGCACTTGATAAAGGGTATCTGAATATTTGTTTTCAGCTTCAAGGCACATTTTTTACGTCCTGTCCCGACATGCGCCGCCTTTTTTAATGCAAAACTCGTGTAGAGTCGGGCGATTTTTCGTCCTGCTGCTCCCGAATTTCCACAGTCGAGGCTGTGCACTGTTTTGCTTGTTTTTGCCATTAACAGCAATTACAAAATGGCAAACAAAAACGTAACCGACAAACAAAAAAATAAAAAAGGGGCGCGGACGCTGGGCAAGGGCGAACTTTTAATTATTTAGACGGGCGAACGCAAAAGTCGCGTTCCCACTTTTATACATTTTACATTTCGCTTTAGTTTTTCCTTTTGTCGGATGCAGTTGCAGATTTTTTCGGTCGGGGCGTGACGTCCACCTGGCAGGTAACTTAATTATGCAACGCATTTGCCACCTCCTGGAATTCTTTGTTTTTGTTATCACAAGTTGTAACTAATCAAATTAAAGACCAGCCAACAGCAGGGAATTTGGCCAAACAAGCAAAAAAAAATAAATAAAAAAGGAAAGGGAAGTAAAGCGCCAACGCGCAAATCCTTGAGAATGAGGAGCTTTCCAGCCCTGTGGCAGGCGATAACATATGCCGGGGATTTTTTCGGCTCTTCCTTTGGCTTCTGGCAGCTGCCGAGGAACTGCCATCTTCTATCTAAACGCGCGAACGCAAAAATGGCCATTTAAATTGTGCATCAATGCATGAAATGCGCCATGAAAGCGTTTTAGATAAGCGGAAACGCGAAACTAACAAATAACCACGGGCCCAAGGAGCAAAATTGGATTGTTGCACTGCGAGAAACAAGGGCACTGTTCGCATATGATCTTTCATGAGTGAGTCAGAGCAGAAGAAAGGATTAAGAGTAAGTTCTAAGGACGTACTATACTTTCATATGTTTTGTAACAATTTAAATTTTAAAATAACCAACCCTTACTCTGAGTGCATTAAAGGCGTTAAAAGAGCAGAGGGCTTTGTCAGTTCAGTTGGTAATCAGTCGTTGTGAGTTTTATTAAAAGGCATGATGTGGCTTTAAAGCTTTACAGAACGAGAGGAGAAGAGAAAGCCAATGGAGTCACTGGTGCCTCAATGGGTGTTGCAAAAGGAGCAGCGGCGTACTTGGCAATCACGGGAGCAGCCAGTGGAGTTGCCACGGGAGCGATCACGGGAGCAGCAGCGATTCCATTGTAGTTCCTTGCGATCACCTGACTGCTGGTGGCAGTCACCACTGGAGCAGGAGCAGCCACAACAGCAGCAGGAGCAGCGTAAGCCAGGGGAGAACTGTATGCCAAGGGAGCGGTGTAGGCCAGAGGAGCACCCAGAAGTCCTGGCTTGGCAGCAGCGCAGGCAACGAGAGCGAGGACAACGACGGCCTGAGAAACAGAAGGTGTCATTAACCAAACTCCTTAGAGATCCTTCTCCAGATATCTTACGGATTTGAACATGTTGGTGATATTTGTTTGTTCTGCTTCTTTGGAAGGCTGGTAAGTGTTTGATGTCCCACTGCTCCGGCTCGAGCTTATTTATACCCAAAAATCGTCTTCAGCCGTGACGCATTCAGTTCATTGAAATGCTCGATCGGTATCCCGTTACCATTTGCACTTTACCATTGTTTATGTGAATTCCCACTGAATGTGGAATAACTGCTGGTGGCCACTGAATTTGTTACCCAGAGGTCACAGTCGAATCTCGACTCCACTTTGGTGATGTATAAATAGCACCATGGAAGGTGTTAAACGGCATCAGACAAGTTCAAGTCTCCGAACTGCAAGCACCAAAGCAATCCCAGCAACAAAATGTTCAAATCCGTAAGTTTTGACTTTGGAGAGTCCGGAATCCGGTTAAAGTGATCTAAAGCATATTCCTTTGCAGGCTGTTGTCATCCTGGCCATCGTTGCCTGCGCTGCTGCCAAGCCGGGACTCCTGGGAGCTCCTCTGGCATACACTGCTCCTCTGGCTTACGCTGCTCCCGCTGCTGTAGTGGCTGCTCCTGCTCCGGTTGTGACTGCCACCAGCAGTCAGGTGATCGCCAGGAACTACAATGGAATCGCTGCTGCTCCCGTCATCGCTCCCTTGGCAACTCCACTGGCTGCTCCCGTGATTGCCAAGTACGCCGCTGCTCCCTTGGCGGCACCTATTGCTGCTCCTCTTGCCGCTCCTCTGAATGCTCCAGTTATTGCCAAGTATGCTGCTGCCCCTCTTGCCGCTCCCCTGGGATACTCTTCCCCTCTGGCTTACAGCGCCCCTCTTAGTTACGCCGCTGTTCCTTCCCCCCTTCTTGTCTAAATAATAAATTTGTGATCGAAAAGATGAATAAAAGAAACTGTGTTGTAGAAATGTACTTATCGTTTTCTTTTTATTTTAAATTGTGGAAGTTTTTCAGTTTCTTATTGATTTCTGTGTACATAAACATTTATTTATTTGTATGAGCGTATATGTATTTTAGCCAGATAATTAATTTCAATAGAGATTCAATTTTTATAATGTTTTTCTGTATACGATATTATTGTATTTAATTTTTAAAGAATATCTTTAAGCTCTATAGCTTTTCGTCCTTAGATGACGCTGCTAAAATATTCTATAGGTTGCAAAAGGCACTACATCATTCTGTTAATATCTGCATTCGATTTTGTTGAAAACAAAAATAAAGTAAAATACATATATAAACCTTAAGAAAACATATGAATTAAAAAGTAAAATATAAATAACCATGAATATTCATCTTTTAGACAAAATATTAAACTGGATAAAATTTTGTTATACCAAAAAGTGACCAAAAACCATACAAAATAACTTTTCGGAAGATATGCAGCCGATATTTTGGCTTAATTCGCTTACCGCCAACAAAATGATCGTAACTACAGCTACTACTTGTCCCTGCTTCAAGTGAACGCTTAAACTTATATTTTAGATTAGGCAAAAGCAATATTTTGACACGGTACTGTTTATGAAACATTGATCTACCGATGATCGGACCCATTTAAGTCATCGGTTTTACTAAAATTAAAAGAATACAATTATTGCTCTTCTTCATAATTTGTATATCATCTAACATCAGTTCATACAATCGCATTAAAAACGGCTTTAACCCGACATGACCCCCTTAAGTTAATTCTACCGTTTTATGAGTATTTTTCTTTTTTTGACACATAATTTTAAAAGAAACAAGAAAGGAAGCTAACTTCGGCAAGCAGAAGTTTATATACCCTTGCAGATAGAGCATCGACGACTAGGAAGCAATACAATATAAATTATATATATTTATGTTAAAAAACAATAAAGTAATACCTGCTTTCACTTTATTCACATTTATATATTATTATTGCAGTTTTATATTCACAGATTTGCATTTTCCCCCTATATCAAAGGATCGTTTGTATGGCAGCCTTATGATATAGTAGTCCGATTTTCAAAGAATTTTACACAAAATTGTAGAATAATATGAAATGGCTATAACTTAAATTTGATGAAAGTCTGTTGAAAACTGAAAAACTTATAATTTTTAATTGTATTAATTGCTCGATCGTTCCTATGGGAGCTATATGATATAGTAGTCCGACAATCAATTGATTAAATTCTGTTGAAAACTGAAAATGTTATAATTTTTGTTGTAAAATTTTCCGATCATTCCTATGGCAGCTATATGATGTAGTCGTCCGATCCTGCCCGTTCCGACATATATACGAGTGAGAGTATATAGAAGACTAACTACACAGTTTCATTCAGATAGCTTCAAAACTGAGAGACTAGTTTGCGTAAAAACGGACAGACGGACATAGCTAGTTCGAATCGGCTGTTGATGCTGATCAAGAATATATATAATTTATATCGTAGGAGGTGTCTCCTTTTCTGCGTTGCAAACTTCTGACTGAAATTACAATACCCTGCAAGGGTATAAATATGTATATGAGCAGGATATAAATATGTATATATATATCTAATACAGGTAAAGGGACAGGCAATATTAAAATTACCAGCGTATTCTGATATTTTTGAGTGACTTCTCCAAAGCTATATCAATTGAAAGGCAATCTGACCAAAGCATGCTAAAACTAAAAGCAGGCATCCCTCGATTTACTTTTGTTAGGAAAACGGTTTTAACCAACTGAGGTAAAATCTGAAGCAAAGCATGACCTCAATGATGGCAGGACAAGTGTCAGTAAGCCATCTAGATGTGCAGCCAAGCAATCGTCAAGGATTAAGTCTAGGGCTCCAGGGGTTCTGGTCGCAGGTCACCCTTTGACCTTGACATAATTGCAGGCTCCGCATACGAAGCTGAACGATAAAGTTGCCGTAGAATACAAATCAATTTCGCACAATTTAATGTAACAGACATTGTACTGCAGCTGCTGCCGCTGAGCTGACAATAATTTTTATGGCCATTACGTGACCGGCATTTGGAAACTTTTAAATGTCCCATCAGCAGGCAGTGTGTATTGGAAGTGTTTGTTTGCCAGCGGTAAATCCAATTAGCGGATGCCCAAAAGCAAAGAAACTCCTGATTTCTTTTTAATATTGGTATATTTTCGTTTAAAGCTTAGACAAGAACTGGGGCGGCATTGTAGGCCAGCGGAGATGTGTAGGTCAAAGGAGCAGCCAAGGGAGCAGCGGCGTACTTGGCAATCACGGGAGCAGCAACTGGAGCAGCCAGTGGAGTTGCCACGGGAGCGATCACGGGGCAGCAGCGATTCCATTGTAGTTCCTTGCGATCACCTGACTGCTGGTGGCAGTCACCACTGGAGCAGGAGCAGCCACAACAGCAGCAGGAGCAGCGTAAGCCAGGGGAGAACTGTATGCCAAGGGAGCGGTGTAGGCCAGAGGAGCACCCAGAAGTCCTGGCTTGGCAGCAGCGCAGGCAACGAGAGCGAGGACAACGACGGCCTGAGAAACAGAAGGTGTCATTAACCAAACTCCTTAGAGATCCTTCTCCAGATATCTTACGGATTTGAACATGTTGGTGATATTTGTTTGTTCTGCTTCTTTGGAAGGCTGGTAAGTGTTTGATGTCCCACTGCTCCGGCTCGAGCTTATTTATACCCAAAAATCGTCTTCAGCCGTGACGCATTCAGTTCATTGAAATGCTCGATCGGTATCCCGTTACCATTTGCACTTTACCATTGTTTATGTGAATTCCCACTGAATGTGGAATAACTGCTGGTGGCCACTGAATTTGTTACCCAGAGGTCACAGTCGAATCTCGACTCCACTTTGGTGATGTATAAATAGCACCATGGAAGGTGTTAAACGGCATCAGACAAGTTCAAGTCTCCGAACTGCAAGCACCAAAGCAATCCCAGCAACAAAATGTTCAAATCCGTAAGTTTTGACTTTGGAGAGTCCGGAATCCGGTTAAAGTGATCTAAAGCATATTCCTTTGCAGGCTGTTGTCATCCTGGCCATCGTTGCCTGCGCTGCTGCCAAGCCGGGACTCCTGGGAGCTCCTCTGGCATACACTGCTCCTCTGGCTTACGCTGCTCCCGCTGCTGTAGTGGCTGCTCCTGCTCCGGTTGTGACTGCCACCAGCAGTCAGGTGATCGCCAGGAACTACAATGGAATCGCTGCTGCTCCCGTCATCGCTCCCTTGGCAACTCCACTGGCTGCTCCCGTGATTGCCAAGTACGCCGCTGCTCCCTTGGCGGCACCTATTGCTGCTCCTCTTGCCGCTCCTCTGAATGCTCCAGTTATTGCCAAGTATGCTGCTGCCCCTCTTGCCGCTCCCCTGGGATACTCTTCCCCTCTGGCTTACAGCGCCCCTCTTAGTTACGCCGCTGTTCCTTCCCCCCTTCTCGTCTAAATAATAAAACTGTGATCGAAAAGATTAATAAAAGAATCTCTATTAGAAATTTATATAAGTGAGTTATTTTTAATTTAACGATATTTTAGTTTAATCATAGGCACGAATTTGACAAAAAATATATTCAATTACTCCAAACCAAAAGTCAAAGGATATAAAGAATATAAATTTCATATATGGAATATAAACATAAATTGTCAATACGGAGGAGATTCTAACATGTTATTGGTTGATAAAAGTTTCTCGTGTTACGAATTCTTTTTTGAAGAGACTTTAATTAAATTTTGGTATCTTCAGATTCTTGAGTTTCCTGAATTCGAGTGCGGTATTTCTTGACTCGAATCGGTAATACTGAAAAGACTTCGAAAAATCGAAAATTAAGGATATTATTAAAATGGCTTTGACATTGCTATGAAGGAGAAGATCCTGGGTTTTAATCCATCAACCTTACGGTTATCCCTCTGGTTAGCCCGTCCCGAGAACCCTGTCTGCAATTTTAAAGTAGCTACCAACTTTACCCGAGTTCTTGGTCATCTTCTTTCAAGCCCAACTGACTGTTACCCAATCCATTTGAATTTTTGCAATTTTTAGACTCTTTCAGGGTATTATAATTTTAGCCAGAAGTTGCAACGCATTGAAGGACAGATTTCGATCATATAAAGCATATATATATTTTTGATCAGCATCAACAGCCGATTCGATCTAGCCATGTCCGTCTGTCTGTCCGTCTGTCTGTCTGTCTGTCCGTCTGTCTGTCCGTCTGTATGCAAACTAGTCTCTCAGTTTTGAAGCCATTTGAATGAAGACTTCTATATACTCTCACTCATATGTATGTCGGAACGGGCCGGATCGTACGACTATATTATATAGCTGCTATAGGAACGATCGGAAAATTTTTAGAAAAAAAGCCAACTTTTTCAATTTCAATTGATTTCCATATATTTTAGGATTTAACCATTTTGTTTTACTCTAGAAATTCGGTTTTAATTTTATGAAAATCGGACGACAATATTATATAGCTGTCAAATAAACGATCGTTAGATACAAAGGAAGACGCAAAACTGTAAATGTAAAACTGTAACTGTAAAACTGTAAATATAATATGTTTCGGGAAGTGTAGTGGAAGGCATTACTTTATTATTTTTGACATAAAAATATATAATTACTAGTGATCAAATTAAAATCTGCATCAACGGCGTGCCAAAGTTTGCTTCCTTTCCTTTATTTTTTTATTATCTTTTTTTCAGCATCACCAGCCAAGTTGATTTAACCATCCCTCTGTTCGTCCATGTGAAACAACAAATCACAGAGATAAAAATGCCCTCACAAACCAGGAAAAAACTTTAAAAGTGGCTTAAGATTTATTCAAGTTTTTTCAACTTTATATATATTATTTGAAGTCGGGTTTCGATTCAATAACTTATTGAATTAGTTTATATAATATAGATAATGTTTTGCAAAACAATACGTGCAAATTCTTAACACCAAAATATAGTCTAATCTAATATAATGATATAATGTCCGAATTTTTTTAGTAGTTAGAGTATAAAAAAACAACTGCATGATTTCATTCAGATAGCTTTAAAACTGAGAGTCTAGTTTGCATAGAAACGCCCAGATGGATGGACGGACGGAAAGGCAGATGGATTATTATAGAATCGGAAATGACTTCATCACTGCGTTCCAAACTTCTGACTAAAATTGTAATACCCAGAATGTGTATAAAAATAACTGTCTTATATAAGTTTCTAATAGACATTCTTTTATTCATCTTTTTAATCACAGTTTTGTTATTTAGACGAGAAGGGGGAAGGAACAGCGGCGTAACTAAGAGGGGCGCTGTAAGCCAGAGGGGAAGAGTATCCCAGGTGAGCGGCAAGAGGGGCAGCAGCATACTTGGCAATAACTGGAGCATTCAGAGGAGCGGCAAGAGGAGCAGCAATAGGTGCCGCCAAGGGAGCAGCGGCGTACTTGGCAATCACGGGAGCAGCCAGTGGAGTTGCCAAGGGAGCGATGACGGGAGCAGCAGCGATTCCATTGTAGTTCCTGGCGATCACCTGACTGCTGGTGGCAGTCACAACCGGAGCAGGAGCAGCCACAACAGCAGCGGGAGCAGCGTAAGCCAGAGGAGCAGTGTATGCCAGAGGAGCTCCCAGGAGTCCCGGCTTGGCAGCAGCGCAGGCAACGATGGCCAGGATGACAACAGCCTGCAAAGGAATATGCTTTAGAGCACTTTATCCTGACTCTGCAAAGTCAAAACTTACGGATTTGAACATTTTGTTGGTAGGATTGCTTTGGTGCTTGCAGTTCGGAGACTTGAACTTGTCTGATGCCGTTTAACACCTTCCATGGTGCTATTTATACATCACCAAAGTGGAGTCGAGATTCGACTGTGACCTCTGGGTAACAAATTCAGTGGCCACCAGCAGTTATTCCACATTCAGTGGGAATTCACATAAACAATGGTAAAGTGCAAATGGTAACGGGATACCGATCGAGCATTTCAATGAACTGAATGCGTCACGGCTGAAGACGATTTTTGGGTATAAATAAGCTCGAGCCGGAGCAGTGGGACATCAAACACTTACCAGCCTTCCAAAGAAGCAGAACAAACAAATATCACCAACATGTTCAAATCCGTAAGATATCTGGAGAAGGATCTCTAAGGAGTTTGGTTAATCACACCTTCTGTTTCTCAGGCCGTCGTTGTCCTCGCTCTCGTTGCCTGCGCTGCTGCCAAGCCAGGATTCCTGGGTGCTCCTCTGGCCTACACCGCTCCCTTGGCATACAGCTCTCCCCTGGCTTACGCTGCTCCTGCTGCTGTTGTGGCTGCTCCTGCTCCAGTGGTGACTGCCACCAGCAGTCAGGTGATCGCCAGGAACTACAATGGAATCGCTGCTGCCCCCGTGATCGCTCCCGTGGCAACTCCACTGGCTGCTCCAGTTGCTGCTCCCGTGATTGCCAAGTACGCCGCTGCTCCCTTGGCTGCTCCTTTGGCCTACACATCTCCGCTGGCCTACAACGCTCTGCCTGCTGTCGGACCCGTTCTGATATAAGAACTATCAATAAATAGTTAAAATTAAATCAAAAAACCTTTTGTTTCTGGGTTCGGTGGGAGAAGATTCATCGAACTGATGACGCCGTTTTAATTGAATTAGCAACTGACTGTGGGCAGTATTCATAAACAACAGTAATGAATGTCGAGTACCTCACTCCTCCAATTTGAATGCAACTCACGTAGTCGATGGACAAGCCATTGGATACCGTGGACAGTTGCTGGATGCGTGATATTTGAGAGTAAAATTTGTTTGGTTTGAAGTTGGAACTGTTGGTAAAAATGCGTAACTATGTCAAGGTTGCAAGGCCATCGAGGTAAATGAACTTTTGAGGGTTAATAAAAAAGAATTCATGGAATGTAATTTAAGATGACTGCACAGAGTTCTTTTATTTTGGTAATACATTGCATATTTCATATATACATGTTTATATAAAAAATAAAGTATATAAATATTAGAATCAATTTAAAAATATTTTTAACCTTTAGCCATTTTGATTTTGGCAATAACTAAAGATTCTGTGTTTTACGAAAGTTCTTGTTCAATTTGCCTTGAAAAAGACTGTTGGATATGAAGACCGCTTTTAGGATTCGATTTATTTTACGGCGGATTCGAAAGCGAACGTGACGAATTGCGCAGTAAAAAATTGGTATTCTGTGAGTGAAACTCGCCGAATAACTGTTAAATGCGTAGCTCTACGGAAAATGCTTAAATGAAGCTGAAAGTGAAGCTAAATCAAGGTTTTTGAATTTAATAAAGAATTATTCAAGACTGAGCCAATGGATATCATATAACGTGACCCAGATAAGGAATACGATATTAATAAAAACCCGTTTTATTAAAATATATAAATATATATACAAATACAACTTAAATAGGGTATGTTAGTTTAAGGACTTGTTAAGAATTACATTGTAATAGTTATTTTATTTAAAGGATAAAGCTTCTATGTCGGCACGGGTCAGATTGGGCGACTTTATGATATATTTAAATATAAGGAGAAAGATTAGAAGATTAGATTAGATTAACAATACTAAAGCTCCGTTGTATGAACATATTTCCATCAGCTTAGAGTATAAACTTAGAGAATTATGAGTTAATTTCAGGAATATCGGAAAATTATTCTAAACATCCTGGAAAATTATGCTTTTCACTCAAACCAAATGTATGTTTTAATTTTCTGGCATTTATTAGGTCAGAAAATGTAATGAGTAACATGGGAACCTTCCTAAACCATTAACATTAATTAAGGCAGCTATTACAAATCTATTTTAACTATTATAGATATTCATTGTGTTTTAATTGTGTTTATTTCATTTTTTAATATAGGGCATTTCAGCTAAAATATATAAGAGTATGTATATAAATTTTTATTCACTTAACTGGCAAAATTGAGCTATTCCCATTTCCTCAAAGAACACCAATCCCTGCCATTGTGGAACCCAACAACTTAAACTGGAAATCCACAAATGAACTCAGAAATTGTTCCCCTTGCAATTGTTTACTTTCACTGTCAATTAGGCAAGCCGTTCTTTAATTCTCTAAACAAATAGCAGAGGTCAGTCAACCGCAACCGCCCAGCAACCTTGACCCGAATGGCCAAAACAATAAATGTTGTAATGTCACCGCCCAGTGGAGGAGTTCCCAAAATCAGTCGTGTGCGTTCATGTGTGCTTTCTACTGTCGGCCAAAGTCGGCACGTGCTCAAAATGCTTAATTGGCCAAGTCCCCACATGCTCGTATTCTGTGGATGCCAACAGGTTCGTCCTGGAAATGCTTCTGGCCAAAGGATTCCGTTTATGTGTTGAATTATAGTTATCTCTATTTTTGCAATATTCCTTGCAGAGGAAAATAAATTTTCAACAGGAGCTGTGGTCAGAGGTCTGGCCACATGTCCGGTTCGAAGGCCTGGCCTACAACCTATTAGCCAACTTGGTATTGTTTATTGCGACCCATCAACCAAATGGGGTATTTTTACGCCCGATAGCGAAATTGCAGTCCACACAAATATCTGTATAATTATAGGTAGCGAGTGCAATTGGCTGCCCTTCGGGTTTTGTGCTGGCCCTCGAAGACCTAAAACCCAAAAAAAAAACTGCTACCAACTAATATTTTTCAGACGCTTATAATGGGCCAACGGCCGTCATGCCTTTGGAATATTAAGTAGCCGCCGTGGTGGCCACTCAGCGGTATAAATATGCCAGTTGCCGCCTTCGCTTGTCATCAGTCAGCTCTTTGCTTTTGAACTAACCAAAGCACAGCTTAAATCAAACCCAAAGAAACGCCTTCATCATGTTCAAATACGTTAGTTTCACACTTGGATACTTAGTTTGGTTATTCCTTTGGATTACCTAATATTTCTTATTTTTCCCATAGGCCGTTCTCATCTGCGCCGTGATTGCCTCTGTCGCTGGCAAGCCAGGACTGCTCCATGCTCCTCTGGCTGCCCTTCCCGCACCCTTGGCCGCCCTTCCACCACCGCTGATTGCTGCACCTGCTCCTGTTGTCACGGCCGCCAGCAGCCAGGTGGTTGCCAGGACTTTCAATGGCATTGCAGCTGCTCCGGTGATTGCCCCCGTTCCAGTTCCTGTGGCTCCGGCTCCAGTCCCCATTGTGCGAGCTGTGGCTCCTGCTCCGGTCCTGAGAACCTTGGCTGCTCCTTTTGCTGCTCCAGTTGCAGCTCCTTTGGCTGCTCCTTTTGCTGCTCCCTTGGCCGCTCCAGTTCCTGCTCCCTTCGCGGCTCCGTTGGCTGCTCCGCTGGCTCCAGCACCCGTCTTCAAGACAGTGGCTCCAGTGGCAGCTCCACTCGCAGCTCCCGTTGCCACCCCCTTCGTCGCTCCCTACGCCCATCCTTACGCTGCACCAGTTTTGGCCAAGTACGCGGCTCCCTTGGCCTATGCCCCAGCTCCGTTGGGCTATTCCGCCCGTGCCCTGTGGTGAAAACGCACATATACATCTTCTACATTCAGAAACCCCCAGGGATTAAGTAACCGATTGTGTGTTCAATGACTGATAGTCCTTAATAAAAATCGTTTAAATTGGTAAAAAAAATTGGCCTTATTGTTTGTTCACCATATGGGAGACGGGGTTTCTTTTTTCTGGATTTTCTGTAAAGGGTATATGTGGGTAAGGTGGTTTAAAGAAAAAATATTGCAAGACAATTATTTATATTAATTATAATGTCTGTTAATATTGTGTAGATATGCAATTCCGAAATTTTTTTGTATTTAAAATTTAAGTTTGTTATAAATGTATTTCTTTGAGCAGAAATGGAACTATTAGATTAGAAAGTCAGGTAATGATAGGAAATAAAAATGGCCTAAAATAGTTAGTTCATTTTGTTTATGGCATACAATTTATTAGCTTTCGTAGTATTTAAAATGGTAGAGTATTAAACTATCACCACCTTTATATGCCATAAGTTTTTCATCACTTTTTCCTTTCAGTTTGCTCGGTATTCCGCTTGTCCCCTCTGTGGAAAATGGGGAACCATGTAGAGTCAATCGCTCGTGTCGCTTCGCCGCCTTTTATTCAGGTCATTTGTGTTTCATTGTCCCACATTGGCTCGGTCTTTGGTTCTAAGAATTATGGCAAAAGGATGTTATGTGTGTGGTTTTTTCGGGGGACAAAGCGATGGCTGAGTGCTGGAGAGGGGTTTGGTTTTTATTTGCCATCCGTTTGGCACCTGGCTGACAATACCCGAAGCAAGCGGCAATGAATGACCAATAAATGTTGAAATTATTTTCCTTTCTTCCACTCCCTCCTACGTTTTAAAGCCCAGCAAGTAGTGTTGATTTAGCGGCTTAAAGCTGAAGTTGGCCCTCAAACAGCGCAACAACAGAAAAAAAGGAAATTAGGAAAGTAATGCCGGGTAGAAAGCGAAAACTTAAACAGCAAAAGAGATAAGAGGCAAACATACACGCAATTCCTACACTAGTAAAGCCTCTTTTCCTTCTTCTCCACCCCCCTCGCCGCGAACTTTTCCCGGATTTTCCCTGGGCTGGGGGAAATTTTCCATGTCGACGTTGGTTGATTTTCAACAGCAGCGCAAACGCAGCAAAGTTTATCCTCAATTAAACTTTTTGTTGTTGCGTAAAATTGCGCTTGAAGTTGGCCCCGGCATCTGTCTCTGTGTGAGTCTGCGTATGGGGTGTGCTCACATGTACACAGAGAGAAATTAACTTTATTTTCAAAAGAGATACAAAAATCTTGAAAGGGCATGCAGAAAGTGTGGTTATTATCATTACGAGAATAAAACAGCTTCTTTAAATTGAATGTTAAGGGAATATTAGTTCAACTTTCTCATTGAGAGTGCTTCAATGCAGAATTTGATATTTTAAGATATAATTTAGATTACATATTTTTGAAATCAAGTACAGATTTTGTATATCTTTGTAAGAATTTAATTTCCAGATCAACCCATATATATTTTTTTTTAAATTGGAAACATAGTCCTTAAACAGATATTTTCAATGACAAACACATTCGGTAAACCTAAATTAGGCACTGGTCACGCTTAAACTAGAATATTCATCAGTCTGTGAATTTTTCCTTAGTGTATATATGTATGTATGTGTGGGATAGGCCATACGTCAAGCTCAGGACCTCTGCCTGCACTACCCGTTCGCATCTACCCATTTCGGGTCCCTTCCCAATCTCTTCGCATCTTATCCGATTCCCACTCCCATTCACCATCTTCATTTGTTGGCTTAACTTTTAACTCCACTTGCCTTAATTTTTCGGCCCAAGTTTATTGTTGTTGCTCATCTGCTCGGCACAATTTTTTGGTAATTTCCGCCCTTGTCTGTAGATGAAGTAGGAAAGCGCCCCCCCGAACTCTTAACAACTCGCTCTTTGTGGGAGGTGGGTTTTCCTAACCATTCGAGCCTTAGAATTTCATTAGCTCGCTTCGTATGCGTTTTAATTTGTTGCATCATTGCCTTGTCGAGTTTTTCTTTTAATTGATTCAATATCAAGTTCTGTGCCCTAACTCTGCCCACCCCTCCGCCGCAGAGTCTGCTTTATTATCATCTGCCGCCGCTGCGGGCAAAAAGTTTTTAATGCATATTTTCAAGTAATTACCAAGACTTTTCCATTAGGGTTTGCGAAATGATTAGCGCGTTCGAGGGCTGCGGTGCATTGTGCTTCATTAGGCGGAGCTTACATAATATAATAGTATATTTTTGTAATTTAAATTGGAAATGAATTAGCTGTGAAATTGCAGAGGCGTTGGGACTGTCATGTGTATATACCACATTACTACCAAATATAAATGTATCTAAAAGATATCTTCACTACATGAGTTTTTGTAAGAAATTAAACTTATTTTCCAATCTCTCTGCTTTTAATTATTGTACAACCTATGATCTACCCAAAATCCTTTGTAATATGATGACGATAATGGATGGAGCTCAGGTCTACTTCATAGTGCTTTGATCATATTTGCTGCTCTTTTTGATATTTGTGGTACATATGTGTGCAAATATACAGCGGCAGAATACATATGCCAATGGTGCACTAAATTCTTAAAGGACTCGAATGTCGAATCCGACAGGAAATGAGTGTGTCCGTGTGAGTACATCGCTGAAATCCAAGCAGACAAAGCGAGCGAGGCGTTTGGTCGGACCCGTTTCCGGTTGCGGTTGCTTAGCCCCCATGGATCCCAGATCCAGGAGTCTGGATCCTGGCACAGGCCCCGGAATGGGGGGGGGGATTTGGCCAAATAACGGCACTCAGTCACTCAATGCGGTTGCTTAGCCTTTCAGCTACAGACCGCAAAAATCCAGCTGCCTTTTCTGGCTCTTGATATGACGACAGCGGAACGGGGGCGAAGCGCATTGCACGGCGTATACGCAATACACAGGGAGAAAAATGTAAGGTGATTTCATACAAATAAAGTGTTAAATATTGAAAAACATGTGTAGAATATTGTTTGAATGCCTGTGTTGAGTGGATTCAATTTGTAGTATAACAATTCAGATTACTCAGATATATTAGAGTACTATAGAATGAAGGTGTATAATTAACCATTTTAATGTCATATTAAATCTTTTTAATTGAATAAATATGACGTATGTAATTATAAATAAATTTTAAATTAGAAAAGAACTAAAGGAATAATTTTATCTTTTAAACAATGTTTGCTCATTACAAGTTTAAATTTGTATTCTTTCATACCAGCTTTAATTACTTTGTATTTAAAGAACGTTCTTTCAAGATTTAATATTAAAAAATATTTATTTCCTGATTAAAAATCTCTCTGTTTTTTTATTTTCTGCCAGTGTACGTATACGTGATTTGTTTGCCAGAGCAATTTACATGCCCCTGCGATGGATGAAATGGGCGACAGAGATGGCGCTGCCAGATGCCAACGGAGATGGTGAATCGAATGGAGATGTCGAACGTCGGATTCTTTTGCGTGTGATTGTGGGCAATGTGGGCTATATCTGGGCACTGTGGCTGCCGGGCGGTGGGGCGTGGCTGGCGGCACTTTGACATTTGCCACCCTAGCGAAATTTTCAATTTCCGTACGCGCCAGGTGACGCTCGAGCGCAGCTTTAATCGCCAAAGCCAAATGCAAATCAGAAGCGACGCGTGGTTAAGCGGCTAAGTAATGAGCAGCTGTCGGATCCCAATTTGCATTCACGCCAAAGCCAACGCCAAATGCAATTGACAATGGAACCGAATCGACAAAAGCTTAATCAGAACTAATAGAAAAAAGCATGGGGTTGCTCTGCAAGCAAAAAAATAAAATAAAACAAGATAAAATGGCTTTGGCATGTCTGTTTCTGGATGCCGGCAACGCTTCAGTTCCTGTCAATTGCCATGAGCTGGGGGATTTAGCTGAGCTAAGCCTTTTCCATTGAATGCGGATTATTACATTGATTTTTCCCCAATATAATGCATACGTATGGTAGACGAAAGGTGAGCTAGGTAACACAAGCAAAGAGAGGAAATTAGGGAAATGCTCCAAGTTAGACTTGTTTGAAATCTGAATTCCAGTGTTAATTAGCGGGAATTTAAGGAATTGACGTTCCACAATATTCATTTAATTTATATCATTATTAATGCTCTTCATGTTGTATCATTAAACTACACAAACATTTACAAATATTTCAGTTAAGTCGACAAAAAGTGTAGCTACGTTTGATATCAAAAGTCAAACGAGAATTGGTACATGGATATTTTCCGACAAAGGACATCGAGATACCAAAGCTTGTAGTCATTTACTTACTCGCAAGGCCTAAACAAAGGAAAGATTTCCTCGGATTCCGTTTTCCGGTTAATAACCACTCCTTTGTACTGGCGCTTTGAAGGAGAAATGAGAAAGGAGAAAGTTTTCCCGGAAGTTTGTTTTCAGGGAAAGGGTTTCCTCATCTGGCATCCACACACACACACACACGGGCACATGTGCTGACGCAGCTCCTTCAAATCCGCTTTGGGTAAAGAAAGCGAAAAATAATTAATTAAGAAGTGCAAATCATAGCAAAATTATGCGGGCTGCCAAATTAAAACGAAAGTAAACGCCACCAACAGACACATACAGCAGGAAAAGGGGGAAATTGTGGGATGTAAGCAAAATTAAATGCTTGGCGACACGAGATGAAAGATACACGAAGTGGAAATGGGAAAAGATTTCGGGAAAGCTCACATGGAAAAATGAATGAAGGATTGGCGGAATGCGCTGAGTGCCAGGTTGGGGTGGTTTCTCTTAACTTACTTTTCTCTACAGTCCAATTATTGTTTAAATACGGGTGAATACATACTGTGATATTTATTTTTATTTAAGTTTACTTCATGAATAGTTAGGATATTTTAAAGTTAGAAGATAAGTATATATATATATTAAAAGATAAACTAGATATTAACAACTACTATTAGAACATAACTGTTTTGTTAATTTTTATGAATCATTTAATCTAGTTAAACCAGTTTCTAGCTTACCAAGTTCACCAATCAGCGAATATGTTTAATAATTGGGACTTGGGAA